GCATAAATTATTTCTTTGTTATACTTGAGTGACCCGCATAATTTTAAGTGAAATCCAAAGTCAATTGAACCGGGTTTTCCAAATACATTAATGCAGTGATTAAAGACAATAGAAGAGATTTTAGAAAGAGGTTTTTGTTAGTTTTTAAGAATTGTAGAAAAATATTATTTGTAAATAAGTTTTAGGAAATTTTATAATTATAGGTAAAAAGTTGTTTGTTATCGAAATGAAAAATGGGGGAATTGTGACGAGCTTTGATTGGCGGAGATTGAAAAAGGTGGGATAGGTATGTAGGAATGAAAGTTTAGCTAGATTTAGGAGAGAGAAAAGATAATCAGTTGGTTTCCAAGGGTGTAAGGCGAACGGCCGTTGTTCTCGGGTAGTTTCCCAGAGGTAGGAAGCAGTAGCAGTGAAAATTTGTGAGTTTTCGTGTAGTTAGTGTATCTGACAGAAGCTAATCCAGTAAAATATTGTAAGTCATATTTTTCTACTTATATTCCAAGAGTCACTGTTCAGGCCAACGAGAGATTCAGTTTATCGTAAAGAAAAGATATTCCAAGAGTCATTTTTCACTCAGGCCAACGAGATATTCAGTTTATTGAGAGAAGAAGAAGCTAGCATAATTTGAACGATTCGTGCATTTGAAGGAGATCATTAAGGACGATATACTTGCAATAATTTGTTGTAAGATTGCTGATTACCTAGGGAGCGGCCACGAGTAAATAATATAGTCTACAAATAACAAGGATTTGGACCACTCATCATCAGAGAGAGATAGTTTTGTTTTCTGCAGTTTTTCTTTCATTGATAACACAATTTTTACACTTAATTTAGAAAGGATATAAATATTTTGATTAGGAGATTTAGAATAATATTTGGATTTTGAGATTTCAACTAATATTGTTTGTACCATTAATTTTGAAGGTTCACGTACGTAGAACAAAATTTTGAGAATCATTATATGAGATTTGTTTATCGAAAACATTTGAGTGTGAATTTTATTTCATTATTTTATTTCAATATATAACGTTAGATCCTATATGTTTTTTTTTATTATTCCTGTATTCCTATATTTATGGTCAAGGCTGAAAGTCTTATTATTACGCCGAAACTCAAGCAACAAGAGAGAACTGATAGAAGCCATTATTCAAAACTGGTTTAGAGTTATTACACCAGAAGATTTGGCTCGTCCCGTCAACTCCGTGCCTCGCAGAATTGAGTCTGTCCCAAAAAACAAAGGTTATCCCACCAACTACTAATTTTGTTGATGATAATCATTGTACCATTTTTTTTTAATATATCTACTAATAACTAACGGCTGTTGTTTTATTTATTTTTTAATTTTTAGAGGATTTTCTCCCTTAAAATAGATGGTAAATATTAAGTAGAAGCATAAAACGATGTAATAAAATTATAGATAAACTTATAAATAACATAAGTCTTGTGAAAGAGAGGAATGCTGAAATGCTGATAACAAAACTAAAACTTTCAAACATTTTTGAAAAGTTTCCAGAATTTTGGCCACTAGTGTATACAAAGGTGCTGAGTATACAAGGCTAACTTCAATATCTTAATATCTCATCACACGCTTATTTGAACTATATTTACAATTTATACACGGTGCTTGTCGGAGTATTGAGATGTATTGCATGAAAGTTAATGATTTGCAAGACCTTAGAATGAAAGTTCAGAGGTAATGTAAGTCAACAAATTTCATCAGTTCCTGGGGGACATGTTAAATGTCCTAAGTTATAGTTTTTTTATTAATTACTGAAGTTAATGGTCCATTACATTTACCTTTGTAAATTCCACGAGGATTTTTTATTAGGTAGAGGAAGTGAGCCAAATATGGAATATGCTCTTAATATGGAATACCGTATTTTCTAGAAAAGTTAATCGGCAACATTGCATTTATCCAACCCAAAAAAGGTACCTTTAACTGTAGTAACGTCACAGCTGACAGCATTCAGTTTTGATCTAGTGTTCGTAGTGTGAGTACAGTTTCCTTCAGAGTTATTTTAGATTCCGCGAGTTTTTTGTAGGTAAGTACTTTGAACAAGAATAGTAAAAGTTCTGCATGAAATATAATTTTGGTAACACCCATCTATTATGTAATAGGCATGTTTTCTTGTGTTTTTCTTAAACAAAAACTCTTATATCTTTTTCGCATGTAATGATATTGCAGTTGGAAATTCAAACATTGTAGTGTGCCTAATATGGAATACTTGAGGGTATTAAATATGGAATATTCCATATTCGGAACATTTTTTTGTCATAATATGATATATATCTATCTATTATGTTACTTATCGAGTCTCGTAATTAGTTTGGTTTAAAGATTACATTTCTATTTGTTGCAGGAAAATGCCACTAGACGGGATGTTAAAAATATGGCTTTCCAGTTAGCTGCTGCTAATAACTTACCAAATCCATTTTTGAAAGAAACTGAAAGTGCTGGCAGAAAGTTTCTAGATTTATTTCTAAAAAGACATAAAAGTGCGATTTTTATAAGAAAGCCAACTGGAACCTCAATTCATCGGGCTAAAGGTTTCAATAAGGAAAATGTTAGCCACTTCTTCGATCTTCTGGAGTTAGCATTCGAGAAGCATCAATATCCTGCAGATAGAGTTTTTAACGTTGACGAGACTGGGTTGTTTATCGTCCAATCAAAGATACAGTCTGTTCTGGCTTTGAGGGGTGCTAAGCAAGTTGGCTCGATAACGCCTGCCAAGAGGGGATCTCTAGTCACAGCTGTTTTATGTATGAGTGCAGGGGAAACTTTTGTTTCACCATTACTTATTTATCCTAGAAAGAATATGAACATTTTGCTACAAAAAGGATCCCCTCCTGGATCAAAAATTGTGTGCCATCCGAGTGGCTGGATTCAAACGGAAATATTTACAGAATGGTTCCGGCACTTCATAGAAAAAACAAGACCATCACAAAGTGATCCAATATTGCTAGTTTTAGATGGACACCATTCGCATTGTCGCAACTTACAAGTTATCGATTTAGCAAGACAAAATTTTGTGGAGATATTGTGCCTGCCCCAACACTCTATCCATTATATGCAGCCGTTGGATAAAACTTTCATAGGGCCTTTAAAATCTCACTATAGTGAGGAATTAAGAGTATTTCTTCGAATCAATCAGAGGGCTGCCACACCTTGCGACATCTCTGAATTATTTGGTAGGGCTTATTTGAAAGTCCAAACTGGGGCAATAGCCGTTAATGGCTTCAGGAAAACCGGCATATATCCCACAAATCGCAATGTTTTCGAACACCACGATTTCCTTGCTGCTGAAGAGGCATCGCAATCTGACCATTAAACGAAATTTATGATGAAAATGGGACTACTGACCAATCAAAAAGGAATACGTTTATCGAGCCTCATCAAATATCACCTTTGCCGACATTAAGTAATGGAGCTCTTCCTCAAAGAGGAAGAGCACCAGGAAAAAGCTGCAGTTATAACCTCATCCCCATACAAAGAAAACCTAAATAATTCAATAAATTCTCCTTTATCGAACAAATCAAAGAATATGGCAAAGCGAAATGTGATATTCGATCTATCCCATTCACAACCATCTTGTAGTGTCAATATTCCCAAATTAACGATGAAACGATCACATCGTAAAGAGTCCTCTTCATCGGAGTCTGACGTCGAGAGTTTAGATGACAAATCATCTGACGATAACATCACAGAAATAGGGATAACAGATTTAGGAGATCCAGATGCAGTGTGCTTTTATTGCGATGGAAGTTTTTTAAACGATGTTCGAGGCGAAAATTGGATACGCTGTCTGTCCTGTCAGCAGTGGTGCCATGTTGATTGCGCAGGGGCAGAAACGGAAACATTCATATGTGATTTCTGCAAAGAAAATTAAAAAACTGCAAGGTACCTTTCTCTTAAAGATTTAAAATTATTTATAAGAATATGAAAAAAGTTTGAGTTGTCAATAAATATTTTTGCTATAATTTTGTTTTATTCCATATTTAGAACATACAGTGTTCCATATTAGGTGCATATTCCGTATTAGGTACAAAAACGTGTCAATGCAGTAACAGTTTTTTTGTGAAAAACTTATCGAATTGATTGAATCCTCAGATAATTCCGATGAACGAAATTATGATCCAATTTAGCTTAAAGAATTAGATTCATTTGATCGAAAACCACTTATTGACAGCAAAAAATAAAAATGGTTATTCCATATTTGGCTCCTTTCCTCTACTGATGTCCTCCTAGTGTTTTTCTGTGACCAAACAATGTTTTTAACAACTTTTTATTGAACTGATGATGGAATGATTTAAATTCCGAAAAGATCTTCTTTAAAATAAAGTTTTAAGCTTTTAATAAGCACTTTTTTATACCTTGACACATACGAACACCACGTGCTTTGTATTCAACAGGTATACTAGCCACTCCTGGATATCTCCACTTCATGGTTTTGTTCCAGTTTCACTTTTAATTATAAAATAAGAACAATTCTACAATATTCTTTTTCGATTTCTCTTTTCATTTTAGATAGCTTTATCAACAAATAGAGAAGAAATAAAACGATAAACAGAATATGATTGGAGTAGAGATACAGTTAAGAGACAAAAAATAATTAAATAGGTATGATATTTTATTATTTTGTTTAATACGTATTTTAATTTATAGTTAAAAAAACTTTAATATTTTTGATAATGTACAAAATTTAAAAATGTCTATATTATTTAATTCGTACCATTTAATTAATAAGTAAAAATTGCCTAAACACAATGGATAATTTTTATCAGTTTTAGTTTTATATGTATTTTGTTAATATACTGTTTATTTTAAAATTGTACTTTATCGACAGTTTGTGGTTTGGAAGTAGGTATTTATATTATTTTCACATCCTGTTTACAAAAAAATTCTTAGATTATGATAGCTAGTTACCTAAACATATGCAACCAGTTATATACCATAAACACCTAGCCAAACTAATCAGGACGTCAAATGTCAAAAAAGTAGAAGTTTTGAGTAAATATTTTGATGTTAGTGAGTGGTAAATATAAATTTTAAATTTACAGTATTAATTTTTACATTATCGTACTATTCTGGATAAAAATGGATACGATTTGCAGATTGTGCCTTCGCAATAATGATAAAAATATGAAAAATATATTTAAGGAGTTCATGTCTGAATCCGTATATTTTACATTTGGAGTACAGGTAAAAATTCTACTTTATGCTATTTACCAATTTTTAACATTGCTTGTGCTTTTATAACAAATAAAAAAAAACCGGTAAAGACTATAAAAATTACACAAAATTACACAACTAAAATTGTAGTTTAACAAATTAAGTAACCACATTATATTTCTCTTTATTCATTACCCAAATCCAATTAAATTTACTGCAAGTAGAATTCCTATTTTGCATTTTCATAATTTGAAATTCATATTTGCTAATCAACTGAGCACTTGTTTTATTTAACTAATATATTATAACATACAAAAAAATTGCAAAATTACATATTCACTTGTCCCAGGGTCTGTTTGAATATTCTGATAGAAGTATAAAATTAGTCCTTTGCAATGAGTAATGGACAATGATTACAGAGCTTTTCTTTGATAGAAATATAGTTTCGATGAGAGATATAAAATGTATAATATAATTTAATAATACACTTTATCAGTTCTTCTTTTTATATCACCTTTACCTAGTTCCTATCAATTTACTTTTTTAGAGGCCCCAGTTTTCTTATCGTTTTTGACATGCTTTTTTGTTGTTACCTTTTTAATTTGCTTTAAGTTGTTTTAAGTTTTAATAATATTCAATTAACATTTATGTGTATTACGAATCAACAAACATACAAAATGAATTCAAATCTTATTAGGACTCTCTCAATGTAATTTGGTTGGTTGAATACAGAGAACCAAATATATGCCAGTAACCAATGTTTAAAAGATGGGTTTAAATATAAAAAGATAACTTGCAATTTTTTTTGATTGAAGACATGTAGCATTATTATTGAAGTACATTTAGATATTTTATTTTTAGATAAAAGCATCAGACAAGTTTTCAAAATTAATCTGCCAGCAATGTATAAACCAATTAGAATGTGTCAGAGAATTGAAGACCTTTTACCAAAAGAACCAGCAGTACCTTCAACAAAAAAAATGTCCACCTGAATTTGATAGTGAGGTAAGAGATGAGGAATCAATAAGAGTGCTACAGTTTTTGTTTTATTTTCTCAATTTTTTTCAATAATTTGTTCTCACCAAAAAAATGAAATCAATGTGTGTCCCCAAGTCTGGTAATCAGATACTTAGACTAATAATTGATATCGAGTTAGAAGGTGTGGGCACCTCATATACCTAGGTTCATTACTAAGTACAACAATGTCAGCCAAGAAATCAAAAGAAGAATGGTCCTCTCTAAGAAGAATAATCCTTTCTAAGTGTTACTACAGCCTGGGAAGACAAATGGCCTCAACCTTAAACTGATTGTGTATATAACACTAAGAAGACCAATTTTTTAATAAGAGTTGGTTAAGTGTTTTAAGCTAGAGATTCTCAGAAAAATATACAGATTAGGAAAAGAGCAGGGTTTTTGGCATAGATGTTACAACTTTGAATTATATAGAAGCTTAGGGGAAGTTGACATTGTGAAATCCATTAAGGTAGCATGCCTCAGATGCATTGGGCATGTAAACAGCCACGTTTCCTCCCTTTTTAAGCTTGGAAAACAAAGACTTATTCTGAGCCTTCTTCCATATGTCGGGGTTTGTTTTATTTCCTTCTTTTGCAATATTCTGTTGTTTTTCGAGATATTATTAACATAATGATGATAATTAAAGATGTATTGGTGCAGTTGTGGTGTGTTGAAGCCCCTTGTAGTTTTGGTAATTTTATATTTTCTGCTTAGTTTAGGATTTGTCTGATTTCTTTGTTGTCTAATGTCGTCAACTGAAATAATGGTAGATTGAATATTGTTTTTTTCATAATTGAACTTAGATCAAATACAAATTCTTTGTGTACAGTTTCTTTTCTTTCTTATGATTTTTTTTGTTTATTATTATGTTGCATTTATCCAAAGTTGTAATGGACGGTTTGTTTATTTCATAAATACCATTTTGTCACATCTGGTCTCGATTTTTATGGAATTATGGGGTATGACTACTAACTGGGTGCATTTATTGATATAATTGTGGTTTTAATTCAGTGGATACTTGTACTTTTACATAGATTGTTGCCAGTCTGAATGAGCGTATTTATAAATGGTTGTACATTTTCATGTAGGAATTCTGCTAGTCAATAATAACAGCCTTTGACATCTGGGCATTGTTCTGCTTTCATCCAGCTGTCTTTATTACTAAGAAGTAGAAACGGTTGGTTGGGAATAATGGTTAGTTTATTCAAATATATAGGGTGGATTTGGAACTATCGAAATAGATTACTAATACTGTTGTATGAATTTTGAAAATTTCTTCATATTTATAAATACTGATTTGAGTAGAAAATAAGTTCTAATAGTTCATAAAGTTTCGAAGTTTTGGCATATTTTACATTCCATAGATTTTATTTAGATTTTTTACTATTATGTACTGTCAGGATTAATAATAGAACTATGAAGGATATTTAATTTTGCTAATGATATGACAGTTTGAATATTGTCGACTAGAGTTATTATTTAGCTGATTTATCAGGTAATCCATTTCTGTATTTAAAGAGAATCCCTGTTTCATATTAATCAGTTCTTTAATTTCTGCTGAGATTTTTGCCATTCTTGTACTAGGTTGAAGTTTTCTGAATATGAGTTTGACATTTCTATTAGTAAAGTATGATGTTTATATAAGCTTGAATTTATCCTATTCTGATTTTCATTAAGAAATTTAGGTAAGTAATTACATATAGTAACTTCCATCAACAGAGTCTAAAGTACCAAAAAGCCATTTGGAAACTTTTCCTACAGCATTTATTAATGCTAGTTTTGTTAGTTAACCTTTTGTGAATATGCGCTCAGCTGACTATTTATAGATTTACTCATACTCACTTCCACAGCGTGATTTACCTTATTCATAACTAGTATAGAAAAATGATTATTTATCCTAGTAGAATCCTTTAAGTTTACTAATTCTACTGATATTTTATTACTTATTTCTAGAGCTTGGGTTAAGTTAATATGATATATAAATGTATGCTTTGTCTTATGGTAAATCTATTTTTATCCATAGTGCCCTATGATATCTCGTATGTCGTTATATGTACATTATCAGTTGTATAGTTAGAGGCCTTCCTTAAGTCAATAAATCAAAATTTGTCTTATGGTAAACCTATTTTTATCCACAGTACCCTATGATATCTCGTATGTCCCTATATGTTCATTAATAATGAAGATACTGTGTAGTACCCTTTTGTAGTCGCCTTGTTTGTTTTTTCTTACTTAATATATTCGTTATTTCCTCCCCATTCAGTTTCTATATCGCATGTTAGTATTCGTTCAGTTGTTTATTTTATACTCAGCTAGACGCCAGAAGTCAATAAATCAAAATTTGTCTTTTAGTTAAACTATTTTGACCCATAGTGCCCTATGACATCTCGTATGTAACTATACATTCATTAATAATGAAGACACTGTGTAGTGCACTTTTGGTAGTCGCCTTGTTTGTTTTTTCTATCTTAATATATTCGTTATATCCTTCTCTTTCATTTAACGCATAACACGCTAAAATCGGACCATCGGAGCTATGATGCAATGCCCTCTTAGCAATGCCGCAATGCGTATTTTTTATGCCTCATCATATTCGCTACCCCTTTCATTTCTAATGATGTATCATACGTGTCGATCCGACGAACTCTTCTACCCACACTACAAAACTGAACAGCTACACTCACTTAAAAATGAGCAGAATGAACCTTAGCATTTTCTTATAGGATTTTACATGGAAAATGAAGTAGAAACGGTATAGCAGCGTTTTTACAGATATAGCTTTTATTTAATTTTACTACTGTCCCTTGTGTAAAATATCTTAGAACGCCGTTCATTGAGAAGTCATTTGCTACTATAAACGAAGTATAAAGTAATGTGCAAATAATATAGAAATTTTAGCAATAACGCCAGTGGTTGTTAGTTTTTTCTATTGTATAAATTTTTTAAGAAACTTTTTAAAAAACATTGCAGCTGCGTCATATTGTAGAGACTTAAAACCGCAACTATCCATACAGCGATTTATATCATTACGTATTTTTAAATAAACTCAAATAGATCTCACGAGTAATTTAAAACTATATTTAAAAAGAAACACTTAATTTCAATGTGTTCCTAGTTCTCTGATTTCAATTCCCATGCTAAACCGGAAACTACCCACATTACAACAATCAAGCAACTTATTTTAATTTATTTTAATTTATTTTAATTTATTTTAATTTATTTTAATTTATTTCAATTTATTTTAATTTATTTTAATTTATTTTAATTTATTTTAATTTATTTTAATTTAGTTTAATTTATTTTAAATTATTTTAATTTGTTTTAATTTAAAAATTCGTTCTTCGAGAACCATTTGTTAACGTCTGTTTTACTAAAAAATGATTATCCTTTATCGTTTACAAATAAGGAACTGTCAGCAATCGAAGAAAGAGATCCTACAGCATACACAAGGAATAATGCGGGGAAAAAATAACAATACCATACATAAAATGATTGGGATCTATTTTATCCAAAACTAAACCTAACAATGAACAAGAAATAACAATAAATTTTAATTATAAAATACCTTTGAATGCAATCATTTTTATTTAGGTGAAACATAACGACCATTAAAGTTAGAATAAGTGAACATTCATCTTATATTAAAAATAGAGAATTTGATAGATCTTAAATATGTAAAAACGCATGGGAAAATTAATATAGGCTTTAATGTAACGATTCAAGTATATTCCTAAAAGAAACAGATAGTAAAAAGAGAAGAATCAAAGAAGCGACTCTGATTATACTAAATGAGACTATAGTTTATTTTTATGAACGAGAGAGTAATTAGCATAATTTTAACTGGTACCTCCGACCACTCCATGGGCGTGCTCAAGATTAATTGAAAAATTACTTTGAATAATTGTAAACAATAAATGAATTATTTCAGTGTTATAAAGTGTTATGTGTATGTAAACAAAAGTGACCTCTTTTATCACACACTATATTAGAACTGACTGGCCTACATTAAAAGGGTTTTAAAAAATTCACATTTTTTTTAATTTTTAAAAATTACAAAAGAGAAAAACCGTCTAAGGTATGTTAAATAGATGAATAAAAATATTAATATAAAACGTACAGCTACTTGTTACAAATCGAAATCAGATTCAGAAGATGAACTTTCAGAACCAAGATTTATAATAACTGGCTCGATCATTTTATCAGTAATATTGTCCAGCTTCCTCATTTTTTCCTCTTCTTTAATAGTGTGATTTACTGCCTTTTCCCAGTTTTCAGGTTTTACATTATTTACGGCCTCCAAAAACAACTGTTTAACATCATACATTTTAAAAGTGGTATTTTTTCTTGAAACTTCACTCTTTATCTGTGCCCATACCAGTTCAATCGGGTTTAATTCACAATGATATGGTGGGGATCTAAGTACTGTCATTCCACGATTTTTGGCAATTTCATCAATTTCGTATTTTTAAAATTTTTCTTTATGAAGGGCTCACAACGAATAAAGTTCCTTTCTTATAGATCCGGGATGGTACGTAATATTTTTTGAACTCAGCCAATTCTGCAAGTCTTTTTTAACCACTTGGTTGTGGGCAGTCCTTCTATAAGTCTGGAGTGATAACTTGCATTATCCATTACTATTACACAGTTCTTAGGAAGAAGATCTATCATTTGTTCGAACCATTCTTGAAAGACATCAGCGTTCATGTCTTCATGGTAGTCACCGGTACGAGTTGATTCAAAAGTTAATAAACCACCTTCAATAAAACCGTCTGAACTGCCAATGTGTACTATTATCAGCCTGCGTCCCTTTCCTGATGGTGGGTTTAAACCAGTAGATAAGTTATTTACAAAAGCGTGCCTTTGACTTGTAACAGTTTCATCCTGCCAAAATTTATTTGGTGTATGACCCTCGTTGATCCATGTTTCATCAAGATAAAATATTTTTCTTTTTTGGTTTCTCATTTCCTTTATGGTTCTTAGAAAATGTCTTCTCCATATGACAATATCGCTTCTTTCTAATAAAATAGACTTTCTGGGATTCCGATTTTCCAGCGGAAGCCTATTTCTTTTAAAAGTTTCCATAACGTACTTCGACTCATTTCTGGGTAATCCTTATCATCTCTAACTGAGACAAGAACTTTATCCAATGTTGGAAATTCTTGTCTAAAGAAGAATTCATGCACTTTCCGTCGAAGTCCTTCTTTAAAATGATATTCTATTTGAAATTTTGGTTTCCCTGGAGCATTACGTGGCATTTGAAAACTACCACATTTCTCTTCTTTAATAACTCTGTAAATCGTAGATTTCCCAACACCAAGTGTACTGCTAACTCAACGGTCTCACCAACACTTTCACATAAACGTTTGTCTGTAAATGATTTAAAACAATTAAATATTAATGTTTTTTCATTAACTGTTAAAGGACCAATTTTTCGGCGTTTACACGGCACTTCCAAATTTTCCATAACACTAGTATACACAATAAACTGCACCTTGCAACTGAAGTACCTACTTTTAGTGAACTGTTAAGAATTTTGAATACGCCACTTGGACCTTCCTACAAAATGGAAAAACCCACTATCACATTTTCTGTGAAATAAGTTTAGAAGGTCTAGTCAATTACTGTCGTAGATTCCTGGAGTTAAAGAATTAAATGTTTGATTGTTGAAACCCTTAGTTCGTGGAATGCACTCATTTCAGATAAAATAAAACGTTTTATTTTATCTAAAGAATTAAACTTTATTTGGAAATAGGTAGGTACTTATTAAACTTTTATTGGTTATATATAACCAATAAAATAAACATCTTACATTTCTTGCAAATTCATTAGTACCTGTTAACCTCCATCACTCCGACACTGGCAACCTTATTTAGGGATTAGTAACCCTCACAACTATTGTATTCTATTCTGCTCCAACCTTTATACCTGGTGGTCATACTCAATTTAAAATTGTTTTCTTATATACTTCTGTAAACTTGTTGACAAATATCTGTTTTTCATTGAGTCACCCGTATCAACAGTTTAGGGATTTGCATACATAATTTATTGTTTTATTATTCTCTCATACATAAAAATACACTATAATTGCGGCGCAAATTCCTCGACAGAATGCAGTAGGAGATCTGTTCACCCATATTAAAAGAGAAAGTCAATAAAAGGAGAATACCACTATTAGTCAGTAACATATCGAGGATACATCATTTATGTTTTTAAACATACATATAAAAATCACACTTTGGTGTTTATTACTCTCAGTGTAAAACGTAATACATTTGTGATGGAAATACTAATTTCAGGGCTTTCTTGTGTAGTTTTTGATTTAACATTTTATTAATTGTTTGTTCGTTGTATCCGTTGTTTACTGCTATTTGCTTAATGATATTTAATTCAGTCTCAAAGTTGTATTTTGACATCGGAATTTCTGTTAATCTGTGTAACATACTATGATTGATTTTGTTTTGTTTCTATTGTAAATTCACTTCATAGTCATATTGAATGTACAATAGAGACTATAAAGTGTAAACGTATGACAAACATAGATCACTTGAGTAAGGCAATTAGCCGAAACAGTTGTAGTGATAATAGTTTAAAATAAATTTTGTGGAAGTTTGAAAACGAAGTTTTCAGTGTTTTATTGTTACATAAAATGAATTTCCATCAAGTAACGGTCGAATCCATCAATTAAAGTAAAATAAAGACTTATAATATAAAAACCAGACAGAACAGCAACAGTAAGCTGTATTTACAAATTTCTTTTTAATATTTATTCTAGCTTTAATATTCTTAAGGACAAGAAAGAAATCATTTAAATTAACCAAATGCTGTCAGAAATATTTGTAATTTTATATGATGCGATATTTTTTGGCGGAGTACATTTTAGAAGAATCTCTTTTGCCCATTATGGAACACCGTTTAACATCAGCGGAAGATTTCTGGAATAGGTTAATAGAATTTTGTAGCGCGAAATGAAAAAAGCTTTGAGAAAACAACCTGCCAGGTCCTTCAACGAATTGAAGAAAAAATTGCAAGAAATATGGGATTCGTTTACATTAAAATTTTGTCAGAACTTGGTTAACTCGAAGAATTGTGGATGCCATTAAACATAAAGGGGATGTAACTCAGTGTTAAACTTTCACATTTTTTCTGTTAATATTACATATTCTATGCGTTTTTTTAAATTTATCATTATTCTGTTTATTCAATAGTTTTCACTACGTTATAAAATATTTTTTATAATTAGAAAATTCAAATATCTTGTTCGATGCATTAAAACTTCTAAAATTTACGCTGCACTTTTATTTTTGTTCTCTAAAATTAAATTTTCTTATCAATCTAACGTTCGGCTAACTGGTATGGGAAGGGGCTCGTAGCGCTTTTCATTATACTTCAAAAGTGTCGTCCATATGATTCGCTGGTATATAAACCACAATGGTCATTTTTTTCTTTTAGTTTGGATTTCTTTTGTTTTCATGGGTCGAACTATTTGCAGCTTCTATAAAGTTTTTACCGTTATTACTGTATATATATATTGCTACTTTACTACTAGTGTTAATAACGGATTTTTGTGTGGAAATTGTAGGAAAAAAAATCATTAACTTACCATTCCAACAATTCTACATATTTGGATGTATCTCCTCTAAGATTAGAAACTACAAATATAGACAAAAAGGAAGATATGAATGCACAACTTGAATTCCTAAAATGTATAAATATATTTCCATTGAAAACAGCTACCATTAAAGCTGCTATTCCAATTGAACGAAGAAGTAAAAGAAAAAGAACTCCAAAATTTCACCAAGATACTTCAGAGTATTATGTAGGTATAGAATTCTATATTTTTGTACTCAATCTTTTTGTCAGACGTATGGTTTGTAAACGTGAAAACTGATTCAAAATCTGCAATTAATTTGTGCTGTACTTTTTTGTTGTTTTTCCATTTGTTTCTTATTTAATAATACGGTAAATTCCAAATAGCTAAACCGTTTAAAAATCGATTAATCGATGTTTTTAACGACATCTATTGAAATTTTCACATTTACTACTGACCATAAATCCTTTGATGAAGATCGTTTCTCAGATTATTTGTAAATGGTTGTAAACAATAAAAAATTGGTAAAATATACTGGTCTTTCTTTCAGTACTTTTTACTGGTCTTTCATTATGTGCTTATTACGTTGTACTGCTGGATTCAGTCCAAAAAATATAGTAGTTTATCTCACAGACAATGGACTACCTTAGCTCTGACGTCACAATGGGCGGGGCTTTTAAAAACTGTGATGTTCTCTCGTAGGAGACACTATCCGGGTAGCTTTTAGACAGTCAGAGACAGAGTTCAAAACAAAAATAAAACTTTATTGTCTTCCTTAAATTAAATTGACAAAAATCTTACGTACATATCTACAATTTGGTTTAGTCTTCTCAGTACCTGGCCTATTTATTCAAATTAAGTTTGACCTTGTCATATGAAATTAGTTTTATCGGCAAGCGAATGTGTATTTGAAATTTTACGGGAACGTTGTATCGATTTAATAACAGCGGACGATAGGTACAAAGAAAGGAAAGGAACTCAACACGTCCCTTAAGTGATTCGGGTTAACAGGACACTCCTCGACAGTCTCAACACGACTGCTTCAGAGTATGGGTAGTGAAGAGATCAACACGCTCTTCGGATAACGGCGGTATGGGACGGAACAACTTGTGAACTCAACACGTCCACAAGCCGGGGTAGGGAAGAAGAGAACCTTCAGTCAACACCTGTCGATTCTCCCTCTATGAGGAAATGTTGCGGTTTATATAGCGGAGCTTGGTAATTAGTTTTGCCCTTTCTACTGTCGATATACTCCTACTTCATGGGTTGGTTCGCGCGCACGCTGGTTTAACGGTGATGGCTTGGACTCATCGTTACAAAACCTTTCCAAAAATTTCTAAATTGTGTATATTTAGATATTTATTTAGATACTATACTATATCGAGAAATCTAGGGAATTCAACATCCCACTATACATCTGTTTTATAGATTACCGTAAAGCATTCGACAGGGTCAAGTGGAGACACTTATGGCGAATACTAAAAGAAGTAGGCGTATTACAACATCTAATTACGCTTATAACTGAACTATATGAACACACTACTGGATCAGTTAAAGTACTTGACACACTTTCGAACGAGTTTCATCCAGAACGGGGTGTCAGACAAGGATGTATACTATCTCCACAATTATTCAACATATGGCACTTGAAGGATGGTAAAAGGACATCTCAATAAATGGTCATAAACTAAACAACCTACGTTTCGCAGATGACACAGCCCTTCTTGCAAATAGTCAAGCAGAGCTGATGGAATTTATACGACTGATCGATAAAGATGAGGTTGATCAACTGCTTAATATTCCTAATACTGACCTACGGATGTGAATCTTGGACTCTGAGACAATCGGAGAGAAGAAAGATAGACGCCACTGAAATGTTCTGTTGGAGACGAATGTTACGAATTCCTTGGACCGACCGTAGAACAAATAATTCAATTTTAAGAGAGCTAAAAGTTAGCCAACGACTCTCTAGTAAAGTCCATCTCCAACAATTAAAATATTTTGGGCATGTTATGAGAGCAAACACAGAAAACATGGAAAGACTCAATACAAGGAAAGGTAGAGGGCCGAAGATCACGAGGACAATGCCCAAGATGGATAGATCAAATTACAGGAATATGCCAAAGACCTATGCATGAATTAAAAGAAATGACCAGAGACAGAGATCTCTGGAGACGGACAATACACGACATCACGTCGACCACTACACGCCCCCTGGGGGGTCAGGATTGAAGAGAGAGAGATACTATTTTATTGGGAATAAGCCACTATTGAAGGTTCAAATAAGTTTATTGACGTTTCAATTTCCATGTATGATTTCTAGTAGATACTGTAGATTACTAAATTGCGAAAAAATGTAAAAGCGATTTGTGAAATAATACAACCAAACTTATCCGTTCTTAAAAGAAAAAATAAATTTGAAATAATTGCGTCTTATGGCCGACTTTCTGTCAATTTCTGGTAACAATAGATTATATAGGCAAACTGGGGATTAACTGTTCTTTGGTCCATTTTTCGTAATTTTCTAAATTCATATCATCATAATATTCTCCTGCTTATCTTCTGATTTAAAAATCAAAAGGGTATTCTATATGAAACCCATCTCCCCACCACCATGTACGATAACCAACCTACTTCTTTTGAAATGTTTTTGAACAGTCCTTCGCCACTGTCCAGCTATTTAGCGTAGTGTGTCCTGCATGTACATAGGCTTCATCAGCATTTACAATTGACTTATCTTTGGCCCTGTAATATTAAATTTTATCCATAAAATACTTAATGCGTAGATCACGAATGTCATTCGTTCAATTAATAAATGTCTATTATCTTTCGTTTTCTTCCATTTAAATCCCAAATCTGGGGCAGAATGTAAAAAATCCCCTCTACAATCCCCCACACAAAAAAAATGGAATCCCCTCTACAATTCTGCAGAGAGAACTTTTTTAAATACTAGTGATTTTCTTTTCTAAAATACTAAATATATCCGTTTTATCGTAGTTTAAATAGTTAATAGTAGTTTTGTTGCCATTACTAAAAAATCAGTAATGTGGATAACACATGGTTACTAGCCATTATATGCCCATATATTTTTTCTAATAAAAAGGTGTTTTTACGTCGTCCGGAATGTTATAAACTGGTTCTCTTTCACAAAGCATACGAAATATGGTTTACATTCTACATTTAGAAAAATCTTTTATAATGCAAGTCTTGTTCGTTTACCTAAACTTAATTATGTAATACACAAAACAAATAATCTATTGTTTTTATAGAAATGCAGATTCCTGTCGGATTTTGTAAGTTTTGGCAGACACTATAGAATTACGAAATCTTTGTCTAATAAGGACAAAGTCAATTTGATTTCGGATTATTCTATTCGTTGTATCACCGGGAGATTTCCATGTATACAATCTTCTTTTTGGTAGCTTAAAAAGTGTATTAGCTATTACAAATTCTTCCCTCTGGCAAAATTGTATCAAACGGTCACCACGTTCATTTCTATTTCCTAGATCATATTACCCCACATATCCATCCACTCTTCCCTGGCCAACTTTGGCATTGAAGTCGCCCATTACTATTATAGTGTGATGTTTCTTCATTGATTTTAAGACTCGTTTCAAATCATGGTAAAACAGTTCGATATCGTCGTCATCTTTATCTGCCGTAGGAGCATAAACTTGAATAAAATTTACTATACCTTTTTTAGACTGTAGTTGTATTGATAAGATCCTATCAGAATAAGGAGTAAAACTTACCACAGAGTAATTGACCTTTTTTGCAACTAAGATAGCAACACCATAGCGATGATTGACCTCGTTGTTACCTGAATAATACATGGTTCCATTATTTGTAATTTGTTTGCCTGAACCTGGCCACTGTACGTCACTTATACCTAAAACATCAATTTGGAGGTTTTCCATTTCAAGCAGTACGTTCGCTAATTTACCACTTGCATATAAACTTGTGACATTCCAGGTTGCTATTTTCAATGTCTTAAGTCCACAGGGATTTCTTTGGTTTACGACCTGGGAGGCCCTGTGATCTACAGTTATTCCTCCCCTGCCGATCTTGGATTCCGTGCTCCATAATCAGTAGGTTTGTTTACTCTACTTGTCATTTGCCATTCATGACTTTACTAGGGGTACTCTAAGAGTCTTTAATGCAGTGGTTCCCCGTTGCCTTCTGCATCCTTACGCCGTTGACATATTTTTCGATTCATCCGCCTTTAGGACCAGTTTCCCAACCCTTGGACAAAAGAGTGCCCTTCCACTTATTAACTCATCCGCCCGCAGCCGTTGGTCATAAGTGGGGGGATTGCTTCTACCGGCAATCATTCGGTGAATTACCTGTTGGTCCACGGGAGGTATTTTATTTCCCTCCTACCCACCGGTAAACCGGGTCGGGCATTCCCCTATCCGCCACCTGGGGACGAGCTTTCTAGAGGTTACAGGTTCCTCCGAGAGCCCGACAAGATTGCATATTGTCGCCAATATTGTTCAATGTTTATTCGGACTAGTTATTGAAAAAGGCACTTGGGAGACAACCATATGGAATTTTTGGTCTCCAAATTCTGCTTGATCGTATTCACGAGGTAGGAGAGGAAATGGGCATTAAAATAAACTCAAACAAAACCAAATTTTTAGTGTTTAGTCGTGACCCACATCCCGATGCAAAGCTTCAATTAAACGGAGTCAAAGCTGAGAAAGTTCACAAATTGACATAGGTATTTGGGAACTGTGATAATGGACCAACTAGATCCAGACATAGAAATAAAACGTAGAATAGCAATGACTACAACTAGTTTTATGAAAATGATGCAATAATCCAGTGCTGAAGTGTGGACGCTAGAAAGTATCGATCATGAACAAAATTCAAGCATTGGAAATGTGGGTTCATAGACAAATGCTGAAGATACCTTGGACAGCAAGGAAAACTAATGAAGAAGTAGTGCAGAAGATCGAGAAGTCTTCGCAGTGGTCGCCAACGTCGGATACTTCTGATATGGCACGCAAAGAAGATATAAATAAAATAAATTAACATAGCATAACATAATTGTTTTGCATTATAAACTGTCACATTTATCAAGGCCACGCTCGCCTTTTAAAAATAATCAAATAAACCTTTTAACGATATTAAATTACTTATTGTTATAATCAACTTACCGCATAGTAATATGTAGGTGAATGCCACCACGCACTGCAACTCATCCTTAACAGGGCAGATATGTAGCTTGTGTATTATTAAGTGTATACACATATATTGGACTTACAGAACGGAAGTGGTAAAGGTCAAACACTGAGTGCTGCTTCGGGTCGAAGCGGAAGTGATAAGTCTTGACCTAATTACCGGCAGCCATTTAAGAGCGGAAGTGATAAGATAAGGTTTAATTATAAGAGCGGAAATGATACGGGTTGTAGCTGGTTATCTTGAATGGTGTAAACAAATGCAGGATGTGAGGATGTGATAAGGTCTAATTGAGGACGGTTGGAGTTTGCAGTAAACAGGAAGAGCTATTTATTTAAATAAATGCATTAATGGTATAAACAAAGGATGGGATAAAAACTTAATGTAAGGAAGAGATTCTTCTTCTAGAGTGCTGTCGCCCTACGTAGGTTGGCAATCATAATGATTGTAATTTTTGAACTTGCTGCTTTAAACAAATCAATCGATCTGCATTGATACCAATCACGTAGATTCTTCAACCATGAGTTCTGCCTTCGGCCAACAGATCTTCTTCTTTGAATCGTTCCCTGTATTAGAGTCTCAAAATTTCATATTTTGGTCTTCTCATCACGTGGCCTAGGTATTACAGTTTTCTGGTTTGTATAGTGGTGATTAGTTCTGTTTCTTTACCAACAATACAACAGTTTTTAATTCCATAAAAATCAGGAAATTGGAATACTTGGGACACATCATGAGAGGTGAAAAATACGAACTACTAAGGAATATAATGCAGGGTAAAATCAAAGGCAGAAGAAGCGTAGGAATACGTAAAATCTCGTGGCTACGCAGTCTCCATGAATCGTTTGGATACAGTTAAATTGAACTATTCAGGTTCTCAGTGCTCTTGTTGCACCATCTCTTGTTGGAAACTCAAAGTTTTCAGGGTTTTATTGTTACATAAATGATTTTATCTTATATGTAACAGATTTTATGTAAAATTCATGTTTTCTTCTTTACTTTTTATAGTGCTATTATATTGGTATTAACGTCATTATTATGGATTATGTTAGCCTCCATATAATGTATTAAGTACTTGTAGTAATTATAACATATTTCTAGTTCAATAAAGGTTTCCTTTATTTATTTCTTAATGTTAATGGATAATGTTACGTAGTCACGCCGTAATAGTGTTTCCGGTCGTCATTAGCTGAATAGTAGATATTTCTATTTTCCCTACTCCCGACTGTTTTCATTTTTCTTTGCAGTTTATGATTAGTTAAATAATTCGTAATATTTTTTTTTCAGAATATTCAAGACAATGTGCAATCCGAAAAACATATAGAACAATTAAATGGTTTAGTTCCAGTAGTAGAGCTATCAAGATTAGGGGATATAACCGAGGAAGGTTATAAAAAAATAAGTAATTATTTGTATAAAAAAACGTCAAAGAAAAATCCTATCCAACATCAAAAGAAAAGTATTCAAGACAACTCAAAACTAAAATCAAAGTTGCCTTTTTCTGTTGGAAAAAAAGTCACAGCCAACAATAGCAAACACATTCTTAATTTTATACAAAGACAAAAGTCGAAACTTGACGAATACGAAGAGGTCACTGCTGTAAACAGACAATGTGATGTGGACGAGATAACCAGTAAGACAAATGATCCTGCAAAAATATGTGATATTAATGGTGATATTAGCAGCAAAGTTAACAAAACAATTATTATGAAACAAGCAGAAAAATCAGATAAAACAGATGATGTTTTGTCGAAAACTAGTAAAATTATAACTGATGAAAACTCTTATGTAAATAACCAAAAACTAGTCATGAGGGATGTATTAAGAGAGTGTCAAAAAAATTTAAATTTGGCCGAAGACAAATCCACGGACCAGACAACTACAGTCATTACAATTGACGATGACCAAGTACCAGTACATGAAAATTTATCACCAGTAAAGATAACCAGTAAGACAAATGATCCTGCAAAAATGTGTGATATTAATGGTGATAGTAACAGTAAAGTTAACAAAACAATTATTATGAAACAAGCAGAAAAATCAGATAAAACAGATTCTGTTTTGTCGAAAACTAGTAAGATTACAACTGATGAAAACTCTTATGTAAATAACCAAAAACTAGTCATGAGAGATGTATTAAGAGAGTCTCAAAAAATTTTAAATTTGGTCGAAGACAAATCCACGGACCATACAAGTACGGTCATTACAATTGACGATGATCAAGCATCAGTAAATGAAAATTTACCACCGTATAACAACCAGAACACGACAATAAACGTAACGAGAGGAAAAACGGATATTTCACGCACTAACATAATTCCTGAACAATTTTTAGTACCTGTCAATGACACTCAGGTAATTGCAATGCAAGACTCAAGGAAAACTAATGCAATACTCCCACAGATACAAGTAATTAATATTGACGACTGGGTACAGGACGAAATAGATGATACCGTTTGGATCCCGAAGTCTGTTAACGCTTCAGAAACTTTGACGATTTCTGCAAATAATAAAGCAAGTAGTTTCTTGTGTATTTATATTTTAAAACTAAGATGCATGATAATTTGTAAAATTTGGTCTAATTTTTCTCTCTTTCTTTTTAATACCATGTATACAATTAAGGCATATACATATGCGAAGTCATTGAAATAATTTTAGAATTTTAGGATTATATCATGGGTACCTATGGTTCAAAATAATTAGGAGAGGTAATTAAATGTTATACAGGACATAGCTAAGTATATATATATATATATATATATATATATATATATATATATATATATATATATATATATATATATATCGCATCCTCAGTGCAAGACTGCAGTCACTCAAAATTTTATAAAAATGAAGTAATCATGGAATTCGATTGTAAACATGCATATTTATCCCCTGTAAAACTTTAGTAACTTTCAAATGCTTAACCGCCTAAATATTATAAAAACAACAGTTTAACTATTTTACGTTTTTTGTACATAAGTTCCGTGCAAAACTGTTGTAACTCTAATGTAACAAGAGTTGCTTAACCGCCTAAATATTATAACAACAGTTTAACTATTTTACGTTTTTGTACCGGGTGGTCCAATAAGCCGATCTCTCGGCTATATATCAGAAACTATTCATGTTATAACTTTAGGAAAAAAAATTCCTTAGTAAAAGTGGCCAAGAGAAATCGCTGGAAATAACTTTCAAGATTCTGGATTAACCGCTATGGGGCGTAACCTGCGAAGAAAATTTTGAAAACCAGTTTTTTGGGAAATATGTCCAATTATACCAAGTGTTAAATAAGTAAACTAGAAAGGGGCATAAATTCTGCACAAAGTTGTTTTTAATATAAGATTAGATTTAATATTACAAAGGGGCATAAATTAAATAAATAAATTTCTTAAAACTTGTCTCTTATTTCATCGATATTAGCACGAAAATAAACAAAATCGTCTCTTTATCTCGAAACTTACTTATTCTGACTTACTGCAGTCTTGCACTGAGGGTGCGATATACAGGGTCTCCCAGACTAATTTACCCACGCTATATCTCTTAAACGAATAGAGATTTTCGAATGGGACAAAAAGTGGTCTATTCTATTTGTAATACACTTTAATATGGCGTAGAAAAAAATCATCCCCTAAATATTCATCCCTTAGTTACAACCCCTAACTTTAATTTTGTTAATAGCACCCTGTATATTTTTTTATAGTTTTGGATGTGGTCTTCTATCGTCTATTTAACAGATTTATTAAAAATAAAATCGGTTTGTAAATAATCAAGAAATCAATTAATTTTTTATTTTTGTTAATTAAGTGTCCCAGACTAATTTATTCAGGCTATATTTATTAACAAAATGGAGATTTTATAAAGAGTCGAAAACTGGTCTATTCTAGTATAGTATAGTATAAAGTGTAATACTTTATACTATACTACTGTAAATGTGTTTTTTCGTTTCTCGTCAAATTGTTTTTTGCCAGAGAAAAGAGTTTAAGGCACGGGTCGCTGCTCTGTCCTTATTTATTCTTTCCCTAATTTCATCTCGGCTATTTCCCTTCTTGTTGAAAATGACCCCCAAATATTTGCAGAATTGCACGCCATTGATTTTGTTATCTTCCAAGACTAGGACAGATATTTCATCTGTTCCCACTGAGAGATATTCACATTTTGTCATATTCATGTTTAGACCTGCCACCTCATATTCTTCTTGCAGTTTTCTTACCATATAGCTGTCTTCGGCAATTACTACCTGGTCATCCGCAAAGAAAAGTGTATATAGCGTGTTTTCTTCCACCGTTATTCCCATGTTTCTACATTTTTTTACAAATTTCACTAAGGATCTGTCCAAATAGATTTTAAATAAGGTGGGTGATAAACAGCAGCCTTGTCTTAGTCCCTTTGTTGTTTGAAAAGGAGAGGTGATTTCTTGTCCCATTTTAATTCTTGCAAAGTTTTGTTCGTAGAATTTTTGAGTGGCGTAATTGGGTTTATTTACAAGTTACCTATTTCTATCCACAGTTGGGAGATCGTTACACTGTCATATGCTTTTTCCAAATCTATTAAAGCTATATGGGTTTCTCTATTTCTCTGCACTCGTTTTTCCATTGTTATTTTTAATGTGAAAATATTATCCATAGTGGAGCGTCGGCCCTTTACCGTCAATGTTCAGGCCTTCTTCTTCCCAGTTAAGTTTTTTGCAAGCATATTCTTTTTTTTTTACATCTTTAAAGAGAAGAAGGAAAATCTGCATACAGACACCTGTGACTCACACAGGTAGTGTTGGGTTCCTAATACCCTAGCGAAGTTGTGCAGGGCCGAGATGCTCAAGGAATTTAGACCCTTGACACCTCGCCCCGTCACCACTCCGAGACGGTCGGCGTCCAACTAAAAACCTCTCCTCTGTCACACCAGACATCAGGATGGAAGGGCCAGTTAAAGCATACATCTCTCCCGATGCCCTGCTATCACCCGATTCCCATTCTTTCTCCGACACATTCATTCAGGAAACCACACCCACACGAACCACCAAGGACTTTTAACCCCCTGCCTTAGCGAGGCTGCCATCTTTCTCGCGTCGTCTGTCTCTTACTCACTCTTAGTTCGGCCTGCGACAGTCCGAACCCTACCAAGGTGCTACTCGCTTGTCTTAAAATTCTGTTGCTAGTTCTCTCTCTTCTCGTTCTTTTGAGGAGAGCAGCTCCCTGACAAATTTGTGGATCCGTGTCCACCACCACTTATCCCTCATCATTTTCTCCACCATTTCTCTCACGGAATCAAACATTCTGCAGTTACACTCTCTTACAAACTTCTCTCTTTCATCCGCCCAACGCTCACACTCCAACATCGTGTGTGTCACAGTGTCCGAGAAACCACAGTAAAGGCACTGATCGGACTGAGCCCTCCTAAACCTGAAAAGGTAGCTGCGGAAGCAGCCATGGCCTGTGAGCATTTGCGTTAGATAGTAATCCAGCTGCCTATGCCCACAGTCCACCCAGTTTCGAAGGTTCGGGATTAGTGACTTCGTCCACTCCGCCACATCACGTGTTGCCTCCCACTCTTGTTGCCACTGTCCGATTGAAACTAATCTCTCGGCCAGTCTTATCTCATTCATTTCTCGCTCTCCAATGTTCCGCCCCCTACGACTGTAAATCCTTGCCCTTTCACCTGCCAGCACATGTAAAGGAACACAGCCGGTGATAACACACAGAGCGGCAGCTGACACAGTCCTGTAGGCACATGCTACCCGCAGCAGACTAGTTCTGTCCACGCGTACCATGAGCCTCTTGTAAGTTGGTATTTCTACCGCGTCACTCCAGACTGGGGCCGCGTAGAGGACGACAGATTGCACAACACCGTGGAGCACCCTTCTCCTTTCGGATTTGGGACCACCGATATTAGGCATTATCCTCCCCAGCGCAGCCATTCTCTGAACAGCTCTGCGGGTCACCCCCCTCAAATGTTCCCCCCAGCTCCCACTCTGGTGGAGAGTAACTCCCAAATATTTAACGTACTTTTTGGGCGTCACTCTCGCTCCCGCGCACTCAAATTCCACCCTATCTCTCTTTCTGTAGCCTCTGAGTACTACAGCCTCCGTCTTATCCTCCGCGAGAGAAATATCACGCTCACTCATCCAATCCTCAACTAGAACACACGCAAGCGTAATCCGAAGCAAGAGTTCCTCCCTGTCCCGTGCAGCCACCAGCATAGCAAGGTCGTCCGCGAATGCAAAGGGGGTCACACCCTCCCCATATTCGCAATTTAAGACCCCGCCATATGCCAGGTTCCACAGCGTCGGACCCAGGACGGAGCCCTGCGGGACCCCAGCCGTTACATCCACCATCATACCATTTTCCACCACAATCTTCCTCTCGGAAAGATAATCAGCGACCACATTCCTCAGATACCCAGGACAGTTCCTTGCTTCCAAACAGCTCATTACGTGACCCCACTGCAATGTATTAAAAGCATTTCGGACGTCAAAGAGAACTAGGATGACCCATCGATGATCACCCCCAATTCCCCGTGCCGCCCGGAGCACATCGGTCACCGCATCCACTGTACTTTTACCCTTGCAGAAACCATATTGTCTAGGAGACAGGCCTCCAGACATCACAATCACCTCCTCGATACGCGAACGTAACATTCTCTCATATAGCTTTCCGATACAAGGAAGAAGGCAAATAGGACGATATTTTCCTGCCTTGAATTTAGGCAGGAGCACGAGCCTCGAGATTTTCCAGGGATCCGGAAAAGACTGCGCGACAAGAAGAGCATTCATGTGTTTCAGCAGCCACGTGGGCTCCAAACGGCCAAGATGTATAACCGCCTCAGGTGGGACACCATCCAGACCGGGAGCCCTACCAGACTTAAGGGAACCCACCGCCACAGCCAGTTCATCCAAAGTAAAGGGAATCCCACACTCAGCCTCAACGTCTCTCCGCACACCATGCCACGGTCCGCAGGCATATTCTAGTACTGCGGTAAACAGTTTAGACGATAAGGTATCACCCTGTTGGACTCCTCTGCCTATTGGGATATGATCCGTGTTTTTATGTGGTTTTACTGACATATATCGGTAGTCAATGCAGCATGCTTGTAATGTTTCCAGGATTTTCCCAAATTCTACCGTGTTAAAGGCTTTATGGAAATTTAAAAAAGCCAGAACAAGTGGTCGATTGTATTCGATAGTCGTTTACTATGGGAGGCTGATAAAGCGTCTATTGGTTACGGGCACTAAAATTAGAGAATCAAACACAGCGTCTGTTTTCTACGAGAGCCTACAGCCTAGAGAGATATTTTTCTTTTGCAGTGTCTAAGAAACGTCTTTGTTTTTGAGAATGGAGTTATAGTCAGGAGTATGAATTGTTACTAATTAGGAGTTTAGGAGCCTCTGTTGTCTACGGATGTATGGAGGTTTAATATGACTATGAATCAAAACACGAAGGCATGAAATAGGGATACTTTTAATACATCCGTTGATAATATTCATGGTTTGATTGAGTTTTGTGTCGATCTTTGTTACATATGGCTACTGTTTTGCTATACTGAAGCGCCGTATTCGGTAACTGAGTATATTATCAGACTTAAAGCTGATGTTCTGAAAGTGGCGGCAGTTTGCCCCCTTAACAAGATGTTCTGCATATTTTGTGGATGATGTTATTTCGAACGTTTATTTTTCGCAGTGTTTTCTGGATGTTTTTTAAATGACAGTGTTCTATCCATTGTGATGAAAAGATATTTCGGGAATGGGTTAAAACGTAGAAGGTTATGTTAGTATGTTGGTCGCGCCTTCTATTGTGTTATGGCGGAGGGCTGGTGCTGAGTTATCATCATATCGCACATCATATTTCGCAAGTAATATATAAATAAATAACTATAATAATTAATCGTATATAAGATAATATTTATCCGTTATTGTAGTTTGAATTTGTGTCCATTCTCGGTTTGGGTCATATTGTTATCTTTTTTTTCCTGTATACATTTACGATTAGTTAAATAATTTATAATTGTGTTTTTAGGACCTTCATGGCAACACGCTGAGTGCATTAGTTCCGGTACTGTCAAGATTAGGAGATATTACCGATGAAGGTTATACGAAAAGAAGTACATATTTGTATAAGAAGACTTCCAAAGAAAATCTTAAACAACATCAAAAGAAAAGTAGTTTACATGAAGAAACTCAAAAGTCTTATCTCGTTTCTGAGGTCAACTTACAACCCAAATCAAAGCTGCCTTTTTTGGTTGAAAAACAAGTCACAGTCAACAATTGCAAATACGTTCCTTATTTTATAGGTAAAGAAAATTTGCAATTTGGTAATAAAAGTTCCACTGATGTAAACAGAAAACGTGATGCAGAGAAGATAACCAGTAACACAAATAAAAAGTTAAAAATCTGTGATATTAATAGTGATATTAATAGTAAAGTTAACAAATCGATTATTTTGAATCAAGCAGTAAAGTCAGATAAAGCAGATGTTTTGTCAAACACAAGAAAAAGTACAATTGCTGAAATTAAAGGAAAAATGAATATCCTAGGCAATACAGCTATTAGTACTGAAGACCAACTTTTACTAAATTATATTCAAGAAAAAAGAAACTCTGTACATAACAAAAAACTAGTCATGAGAGATGTATTAATAGAGTCTAAAAAAAATTTAAATTTCGTCGGAGATAAATCTATGGACGATACTACAGTCATTACAATTGACGACGATGATGCAGAATTAAACAAAAATTTACCACCGAATAACAACCACAACACACCAATAAATCCACACAAATCTTATATTTCAAGCAATAATATCATTCCTGAAAAATTGTTACTACCCGATAGTGACGTCCAAATAACTTTAGTGACAAAATCACAGAAATCCAATCCAATAGTACCACATGTGCAAACAATTCATGTTGATGACGGGATGCAGGACGATACAAATGATACTGCTTGGAAACCAAACTCTTTTGAGCTTCCAGAAACTTTGTTGTTTTCTCCAAATGACAAAGAAAGTATTTTGTTACGAGAGCGTAAGAAATCTGACATTCAAACATGGAAAAAAATTCAGAAGTATCTTCATAGAGTTATACTTTTAGGAAATTCTGATATAAAAAAGCAATATAAAAGAGTTTTGGAAATGTCTTTGATGTCTTGAGTAAGATGTATATGATAGGGGTAATTAGAGGGCACAAAGGTGGATCTAAATCCTCTATACTTAACTACGATGCAAGGTGATTTGTCTAAATCTACTTCTTATTTCTTTCTTTTTGATATTCTGAATTTGACAAATACTGTTTCAATTAAAAATGTAGTGAACTCTTTCTTCAACGGCCATCCGCACGACTATCGACTAAAAGACGCTGTATAAAATGTTCTTAGCTTTTAACATGTCTTTTATATTGCGTCGCTATTTTTTAATTTATCAAGTTTCTTATCAAATTGTTTCTAGCTTTTTTATGGTTTCATCCATCTTCCATGCTTGCTTTTATATAGTACGTTTTGGATTAGATATTGCAAACACATCAAGCACTAAAATCGGCAATATTACCTCGTACTGCCAGCATAAAACAATATTGTTCAATCCATTCTGCCAGAACCTTTCTATTTTCACTGTCCATTTTTCTCCTTTTCGGATCCATTTCGGATCCTTTTATGTAATAAAATGATAAGTGCATTGTACCATCTTGTAGGTATTTCACTTTGGTACAGACATAAGTTATTTAATTTTTTTATATTCTCTAAAAGTTTGTCACCTCCAATCTTTCTGACTTCTATAACGATATTATCTTCTCCCGAAGTTTTATTTCTTTTTATTTTCTTCAGCGAAGTTCTTTTGCTCCTATTACTTTGCATTTTTCTCCTCTCTTCTATTAATGCTTATGTTTGAGGACTTATTCTTTGGTTCTTTTGGTAGTGTATCTTCTGACTTTCTTCTATAGCTTCTATTATAATATCATTGGGTCAATGTTCAGGGTGTTGACATTTGGGTCTGTATTCTTGTTACTTTCGAGAAATCTGTTGATGTTTTCTTTAAATTCATTTATAATATTAGGCTCTGCCCAGGTATGTATAGACTTCTTTTTGATCATGCGATATCTCTCTTTCCCAAGGTCTATTTCTATCGACGCTTTTACCATTCTGTGATCGCTACCTTGTTAAAAACTGGTACTGTAACATCTTTAAAGATTTGCCTCTTGACAGTGATCATAGAATCGATCTCGATCCTACTTTTTCCATTGGGGCTCTTCCACGTCCATCTCCGATTTACTTTTTTGTAGAAGATGTTGTTTGTTCATTTGGAATAGATTTTTTTTCCAGCAGGCAACTAAATAGTTATTTTCCCAGTGCCGTTTCTGTCTCATCTGCCTTTCTCCCCGTTTTAGCATTAAAGTCACCATATATTATGGTAACGTGTGCTTTTGTATCGTTTAAGGCCAAAGTAATGTCATCGTAGAATTCTTCTATTTCATAGACCGCATGGCCACTTATTGGGGCATATACTTGTACGATTTTTAAATTATATCTTTCACTTAGTTTTGAGGTTAATGAAGCTAGTCTAGTAGAGAAACTTTTTACGAATATAATGTTGTTTTCAGTTTTCTGTGTACGAAGAAGCCAACGCCTGGCATTGTTTCAGTTTTACTATAATCCGACAAGCGAGTGCTGGCGGGTGAGCTGCGCAAAAATAGAAAAGAAATTATTCTAAGAGAGATAGGAGAGTTACTTAATCGCGATTATAGGTATATAGTATAGGTACTTAAACGGTTATACACAATGTGAACTTCTAGACGACTGCAATAGAAATGAGCAATCCCTTCCACTTTTCAATTTGTTCTACGCGCAACCCGCCAGCTCTCGCTTGTCGGGTTATACCGACCTCATAAAACAATTGAACCTCGCTAACACCTATCACCTCCCATTTAATTATCTTCATTTCTGCTGCCATCTCTATGTTCTTTCTTCTATTACTAGGGATCTAGTATTATATGTTGTTGAGTTTTAGGGGTTTTTTAGTTTGGTATGTTTACAATCTTGCACCCCCCCCCCCCAGAATCCTTGCGACAGACTGTTTAGTGGGGACAGGCAGTTTAGTGCGAGATTCGGGAGAATTTTGCTACTTTCCTGAGGTAATACATTTTGATATAATAACATTTTCATTTTAATATAAGGTTGAATGTTCGAATAAATGAACTTTGATGGTACACAAGGCAAAACATTTGGTTCGTTAGACAGTGCATTTTACATCAAGTCACTCCTACTTTTGCTAAGGTCAAGACATCAAAAAATGTATCTGATAAGGATAAACAGATTTTGGAGAAAAAGATCCTGAAAAGAGAACTTAAGAATCACTATACCAAACTCCATCATATTAATGTCAATCTGAAAATTACTTATGATCAAATTTTGCAACAGCACCCTTGGTTTCTTGTCAACGACTTCTTCAACAACATAGAAGATGAGGTAGCTCGCTTAAAATCTACCAAGAAGAGAAGTCTTACCAACAAATTAAACCGATTGATTTTGCAAAAACAACAGAGAAACACCTCAACACTCATGAATAAGTTTTCAGATCACCAATTCCATCCTAGAGTCTTAAATTTAAGCAACACTAACTTTTCAGAGGACGAATTGTATTTTTTAGGACTAGGCCTTAAGTTTTCTTGTCAGAATTTTAGGTTAAATAACTCAGTGCTTGGAGAATTTGCAGTGGAGTTGGATACTCTTATAGAAGGTATGACTAAAAATGCTGATATAAAACAATATTTGAGAAACTCTTGCATTAGCTTACTTCAACAACAACAATGTAAGTACAAACGCAATTTTCATAGAAATCATCATAATTTTAAAAAACAAAAGGATTTGCTAAAATCAATTAAACATAAAATTGATAGAGATTCTCTTGTACTTAGCAAGGCTGATAAGGGAAATTGTGTTGTAATCTTAGAACAAATTCAATACATTGAGAAAGTAGAATCTTTTCTTTCAGATAACAGTTTTGTAGTTTTGGATAAAAATCCACTTAACACCTTTATTAATAAAACAAAAGCAATGGTTAAATTGTTTAATGACACTATTACTAAATATAACAACAGAAAGTTAACTGTATCTAATCCTATAACACCTAGGTTATATGGACTTCCTAAAATCCATAAACACAATTGTCCCATAAGGCCTGTAGTAAGTTTTTGTAACACTCCAGTTTCTATTTTATCAGAGTTCATCTACAACACAATTCAGTCTATCACTAATTTTAAACCTAAGTTCTCCATCAAAAATTCTTTAGATCTAATAGAACGTTTAAATAACATTAGGATAGAAGAGGGTTTTTATTTAGTTTCTTTTGATGTTTCCAATTTGTTTACTTCTGTACCAAGAGATGAAACTTTACCTTTAGTACACAACCTTCTAGATAATTGCAACATATCTGCAAAGGATAAAGATGCTATATCAACTATGCTTAAATTCTGTCTTGATCAGGACTTCTTTCAATTTAATCAAAAGATATATAAGCAACCAACAGGTTTAGCAATGGGATCTCCATTATCACCTTTTCTAGCTGACATTTTCTTAGACAGCTTAGAACAGAAGTTTGTTAACAACAACAACAAAATAGTTTTTTGGTCAAGATATGTGGATGATTGTATAGCTCTCATTAAGGGAACCCAAGATGATGCTCTACAGATTCTGGATGATCTCAATAACCTCCATCCTAACATCTCTTTTACTCTGGAACCAGAATCTGACAATAAGTTGAACTTCTTGGATATGAGTATATCCCGTAACAAAGATTCTTTAGAGTACAACATTTATAGAAAACCCACCCAAACAGATCACGCTATACATGAAACGTCCAACCACCCTACTCAGCATAAAATGGCTGCTTTCAACAGTTACATTCATCGATTACTTAAATTTCCTCTTTCTGATGATAATTTTAATACAGAACTCAATACTCTTAAACAGATTGCTGTCAATAATGGATATGATCCTAACATTATATACAAACTTCTAAATAGAGCTAAACTAAAAATTGCAGAAAAGCTTGCATATTCATCACAGTCTTTTCAACCTAATGTTTCAGATAACATCAGATATTTCTCCTTCACTTATATTAGCAGCATTTCCAATAAAATATCTAAACTTTTTACTTCTACAATTGATAACATCAAAATCTTGTTTAAATCACATAACACTCTAGGCTCCTTCTTAATCAATACCAAAGATAGGATGAATACACTTGATAAAAGTGGTATTTACAAATTAAAATGTGACGATTGTGATGCCTCTTATGTAGGTAGAACATCAGAAAGTTATCCACTAGAGTCTCTGAACATTTGAAAAGACCAAACTCTTCAAGTTTTGGTCAACACTTAGTATCCAGCAACCACAATTTTAACATCAATTCTGGTTCATCCATCTTACATGACATCAGTAGAAAGAAAAACTATCTTGAGTTGGATTTATTGGAAGATTTGGAGATTACAAGGGAAACAAATGAAAACTCTCTCTGTACTTAATTTGTAATTGTACTAAATTTAATCCTATATTTAAAAACTTTATTACAGCTCCACCTCGTAGAGGGCCCAGCTCGACTGTTTAGACTTCATGCACTGAGTATTTACATATTAATTTGAAAGTTCTTCCATTGACTGTGGATTCAACTGAACTACTTGGATTACAACCCACTTATATATTTTGCTTTAATTTTGATTTTAATTTTTAGCAATTCAATTGAATATTCAGATTTTCTTTTCTTTTTACAGTACTGATAGTGCTTAGTAGACCATTTTATTGTAGTCAACTATCCACTGTCTAATATATTGTTTAGTCTATTTCTTACATTCATACTTTATGTCAACTTCAATTCCTCTCAAACTAACATCCTAATTATTATAAACAGGTTTGAGTGTGAGATCTGGATTATTCAATCTACATAAAAATATTAGATATAATTTTATATTTCTTCAGTTGATTTCCTATAGTGGTGTCAGTTGGACCTTTGGTCAATACCTAGTTTCATAGAATCTTGAAAGGCGCAGATCACTTATCTATTGTAACTGCCCTTCACAAGCTGTCATTTGTCACATGTCACCCCAATATTTCCGCCTCCGCCAGGCTGGGAGCCATTCTGTCTCCGGCTTCTATAATATAAAA